ATTTTCATTTTGATAACAGATTTCAAATCTTTTATAAAATATATGACTTGATCTAGGTCATCTATTTCAGTTATTTAATCAACTATATTTTTGAATTTAATATCATAATCTTATATTAAACCAATTTGACAAAGGAAATGTAATTATCTGCAAAGATATTATTAATAATATAATGATTAAAATATATTTCTAAGAGTTGTAATAAAGATATTTCAGATTTTAAAAGATAAAATACTATTATCTGCTTTGACTTTATTAAAATACTAATATAAAGCTGTATCTATCAAGAAGGTGATAATATATTATATCTGAGTTTTCTTATCAGTAATTTCTTGAGCCTGAAATATTATTTTAACTTATATTATTTAGATAAGTATATTTTCATTTAGCTTTCCAGAATAGATGGATAGTTTTACTAAGAGATAAGATATAAGTTTAGAACTAGAAAGATCATCTTCTTTTATAGTCTTGATCAATTCAGTAATATTTATTATGAATTATATGAATTGTTCTGTATTTATCTTTATTAGAATTTAATAATTTAAAGCTAAAATATATATATATATGAAGTGTATGTAATATTTAATATATAAGATATTAAAGAGTGATATTTATAATAACTATATCTGTTATTACTAAGTTGTAAGATTATTCTGTTAATAATTATAAATAAGATAAATATAATATGAATAATTTTAATTTTATAACTTATAATTATTTTTATTATTTAAAAGTATTCAGATCTGAAAGAAAATTACAGAATAGAGAGATCTTATTTATAATAAAAGAAATAAATACAAAAAGTAAATAAATTAATAATAATCTATAAATAAAATATATATGGGTTGAATAGAATTAATTAACTTAATTCACATCTTCAGAGAGTAACTAATTATAATTCAATAATTAATAATATGATAAATAATTATAAATAATAATATAAATAATAATTAAAAAGAATAAATAAAAATATAAGAAATATTAATAATAAATATAATTAAAAATATTAATAATCTAAATTAATAATTGTAATATATATAATGATTATTTAAATAATAATATGCTAAATCTAAATATATTAAATATATAATGATCATCTATATATTCAGAATGAAATTAATCTTCTTAGAAATGTAATACAAAATTAATCTGTTATATAGATAGTGCAAAATAAAGATCTAAGCTAAAAGAGATCTAAAAAAAGATAATCCAATCAAAATTATTACATCTAGTAAATGAAATATATAAAAATAAGTAATTTTTTATTTCTTATTAAATAAATTATAATAATATTTTTTTACTCATATATATTTTTTTATCTATTTATAATTAATTTTTAAAGTAATATAATATTTTATCTAATTGAGTTATGAAAATAAATTTTTACTTATTATATTTTTTTATTTAAAAATAAAAAATAAATAATAATAAAAAATTTATTATTTTCAAGATTAATAATATTATTATCTTTAAGACTAATAATAGTAATACTTTCAAAATTAATAATAATATTTCTAAGAATAATAATAATAATTAATAATTTTAATATCTTCAGGATTATTATTTTAATAAGTTATATATTTAAATTATCTAGTTCTAAATTTTAATATAAATTAAGAGAAAATTTTTATTTTATAAGTAAATTTTATATTATATTACTTTTAAAAAAATAATATTATAAAGTATTTTTTTTAAAATATAATTATTAAAATTAAATTTCTATTTTATTAAAAATTAGATAATAAAATCTAAAAAAAATTTTTGAGTAAGATTGTGAAAAATTATAAAAAAAATAATAACTGAAATATTATAATTCTGATAATATTAATAACTATCTATAATCATATTTATATATTATATTTTTTTATTTTATTTTATTTTATTAGTAGTATGTAATTATATTATTTTTTTATTTATATTTTATTATTTTAATAATATTTTTATATTAATTAAGAAAGAGTTTTATAAACTTGCTATTTTTTATTTTTATATAATTTTATAAATTAATTAAAATTTAAATATATATAGAGATATAATTATATAATATAAAAATTTTAGATACTTACTTATAATTATACTTTTTTATTTTTTATTAGAAATAATAAGATTATTAATAAATATGAATTGTTTTAGCTAGATCTTGCTAAAAATTTTTATGAATTAAATATGAATTTTTTTTATTTTTTATAAGATTATTAAGCTATATATTACTTAAATTATTCTTTAATATATTATAATATAATAACTCTTTACTAATTAATTTATTCTGATCTATTAAAAATTTATAATATTTTTTAGAATCATTTTTATTTTATTTTATTATAATAAAATTATATATCTCTCTCTAAATTATTATAAAAATATCTTATAATCCATCTATTTTTCTTAGTCTTAATAATAATTAAAATTTTTTAGAATTTATTTTATATTTAATGATATATTAATATAAGTTAATTTCTGATTAATAAATTTTATTTGAATTAATTCTAGAAATTAGTGATTGAGTTATATTTAATATATTTATTAATAAATTTTGTATAATAATTATAATATTTTTTTGATTGATAAAAAGTGTAATTGAGATAATAGTAATTATTTTTATCTAGATAGTTTCAATTATTCTATATATTTAAATATATATATATTTTTTTATATATTAGAAATTTAATTTCTGAATTAATATATTTAAATATATTTTAATATAAATTGATACAAAAAGATTTATATCTCAGATAAATATTAATAAATTATTTTTTCAAAATAAAATTTTAATTCTGTCTTATTTAATTAAGTTATTAGATATTAAAATTTATTTAAATATAAAATTTTTATTATATATCTTTTATAAAAAAATTTTTATTAATAATGACTTTTTTTAATTATTATTTTTTAAATTTTATTATATAAAATTTGATTAAAATTAATATAAATATTATATAGTATATAATTTAAGTACTTAACTTTGAATCTTAATATTTTTATAATTACTAATTCAATTTTTATGAAATTTAAAATATATATTTATTAAATATAAAGTAATCTATTTATATAATTTAAAGTCTTAATATTATAAATTAATAGTAATAATATTTAAAATATCTTTTTTTTAAAAAAAATTTTATTTTAATTTTTTTTAGTAAAATAATACTTTATTTATTATTTAATTAAAATATAATAAAATAGTTAAAATAATATAAAAAGTTAATTTAAATTATTTTTTATTTAATATAAAAAAATTATAAAAATTAGTTAAAATTTGAATAATTTTTATTAAAAATAATTATTAATTTTCATATTAAGTTACAAATCTTTTTATACTAATCTATATTATATATTTAAATTAAATAAGAGATTATTTTTGTATTACTTCAAGAATTATACTTTTTTCTTTCAAAAACTTTAAAATTTTAATAATATAATCTTATAAAATATAATTATTAGTATTCTTTTTCTACATTATCTTTATATATAATTTTTCTGTAACTTATTTTATGATATTTAAAATCTGATTATTAGTTAATTCTGATATATATCTTATATCATATGATATTTCATAAACTTTATTTATATTAATTTTATTAATTTCTTTCTTGATTATAGAATTAATAATTTTTTCAAATAGCTTATAAATTATTAGATAAAGAAGTTTTAATTATAATATAAACTTTATTTTTTATAGATTTCTTAAAAATATTAGTTTTAGATTAAATATTAGTAATATTAGTAATATTATTTTGATAAGCTTTTTTATAAGTATACTAATATATATATAAACTCTTTTTATTTAGCTTTTATTATTTTGTCTTTTATAATCTCAGTATTAGAAATTAACTAGACTAACTCTTATCTGTCTTTATTATTATTTATTTTCACATTACTATTATGAGTTCTGAAAATATTAGTCTTATGAAATAATAATGCTTTCATATCTGATAAGATAAATGACTTCTTTTTGAATAAACAGAATTACTTCTTGAATTATATCTTGTTTTATTATATAATATTTTTATTTTAAAAAAATATCACTTTTTTGTATCTGAACAGTTAATAAAAGAGATTCTTAAGATAAAATATATCTATTTTCTTTAGTTTGATCCTTTATAACTTTAGATTCTTTTGAAAAACTATTATTTTAACAAATTTGCTTATATTAATTAACCAAAGATAAATCTTGAGATCTAAGCTTCTTTTCTTTAATATTCTGAATTATTTCATTATTAATTCTTTTCTTATATACTGAATTATAAAAGTCATTCATCTCCTTCTCTTTCAATAATTTAATCTTTGTATAAATAAGTGATGTAGAAGTATCATTCTTTAATAATTTAAAGTTAGTATCAGCAAAACTAGCATGGCCAATATACTGGTTTATAACAGGATCAAATGCATTATAATACTCTCAGAAGAATTATCTAACTTGTCTACAGCATTATTTTGCTCCAATTTTGCAAATTGTTTCTCACTTTCTTTTATTGGCCATTCTAGTTTCATGATTCTAGCATTAAGCTTGATATCTCTTAATTTCACTTTTTTAGCATTTTATTCTAATTCTATTATTCTAGCCATAAATCCATTCCTTAGCCTTACCTCGTATTTTCAGTTTCAAGCTCAATAATTCTTTGTTTTAATAAATCTAATTCGGATTGCATTTTTAGTAATAACTTTTTATAAAAACGATTTATTTAATTTTTGGGTTAACTATTATAGCGTAAATAAAACACGTGATATCCTGACCAACGGTCAGGACAATAAATTCACGAAATACACAAGCAAAAGTAAACTGACTATGTATGCAATAATACAGGCTCATCCGAATTCAAGTACTCAGTCCCCCACTTTAACTGAAGTCTTGAATTTTAAAAAATTAGCCACCGGGACAAGCTTTATTGATAAGTCTCAGAAAAAATTCTTAGAAAATGAACATATCTTCTGGTGATGCTAATACATTAAAAGGCTAGCTTACAACTCAAAGAATTGTGTTTGAAAATAAAAAAAAGACGTTATGAAATAACAAGTTCTTCTTCCATATTACTTAAAACATAATAAAAATCTATATCAAGAGGGTTAGGTATTGATGCAGGTATACGAAAATCAGATGGCATTCCATGAAAAAGACATTCTGTATTAATATTAATAGTAAATTGTTGAGGCTGAATAAGAATTTGGTTGTTATCATCAATGGTCTCAAATCCAAATTCCTTTAAATATAAAGTATATTAAAATTATTTTCTGCCAACCAACTTTATATTCATAATATAACTTACTGTAACGGGCACTAGTTCTCCTGATATCCTATTGTCTGTACAAAAATGCCATACCTATAAAAAAATAAAAATCGTTAATTGATGATAAGAAAAAATCAAAAATCTATATTTTCCTATTATTACTTACTTTAATTCTTGAAATAACCGTATCACATCGGATTAATTTTATCGCAATTGCATCATGAGCTCTACCCGGTTGGAGCCAATAGTTTTTTACTGCATCTAATAAATGGGCTTCAGTTTCCGAGGAGGCAACTTCTATCGCAAGATTGGGCCACGGTTTATGCTAATAATGTATAATCACCAGTATTATAAACTTGATTATTATAACGATAGAAATATTTAAGCTCTACATACAGAATTTAGACCCTCACGTCCATGCGAATTTACATTAGGTTTGCGCTTTGGTATGAAAGATCCATCTGCCTCTTTTCCCATATTACCGGCTCTTGTTCCTTTATTTCAATAATAGAAGGCATATTTGTGTTATCGAACAATATTATTAACAATCCAAAAACAGATTAAATGCTTACGCGTAGATCCTAAATTAATGAGTGTCATTTCTGGGTCCTTCGAACAAATTAACCTTCCAATTGCTCTAGAACAAGTCTCATGAGGTCCTAAAGGCAATTCATAAACATAAACATTTCCATTTATCCACTCCCAAACATGTACATTAAAGAAGTCAGTTCGCTCTGCATATTTCTCCCAATCGACATCACTTTTCAGTAAATAGGGCAACCTTAATATTTACTTAAGATGTTAGCTACTGCCTTAATCATAAAAGGAATTAAACAAAAAAAATACTTACGAAGCTTCTTCCCATTTTGCACTCGGATGTATATTCCCTTGGATCCACCACAATTCTCGAAATTTTGCCAGTGTCATTAGATATCGGAAGTTGAAAGGTAGTATTGCTATTTGCAATAATTAAAACCATTTCTGGGAGTTATCCAAAAAAAATTATAATAACTTCAACAACAATAATAATTTTAACAATAATTTCAACAATAATAACTTTAATAACAACAACTCAAGAAATTTTATTATCTGTTACAATTGTGAAGGTGCTGGTCATATTGTACTAGTCCAAGAAAGAATAACAATAGTCAAGACAATAATAATCACAATAATAATAATAATAATAATAATAATAATAATAATAATAATAATAATAATAATAATAATAATAATAATAATAAT